TTGGCTGAACAATTGCAACTGTGAGCAATAGCAATACTTGGAGTAGCATGAGTGGTTGTGTTTGTAGTGGTGGTCACACTTGCCTTTCCCTTGAACCCAATCCAATTGTGTCCACTGCAAGAATTGTGGCCATGAAGAAGGTGAGTAAAGTACAAGCGAGAGGAATCAGAATGTAGTAATCCACATGTGGTAATAGCTGGCAATCATTGCCATCTGAAAAAGAGTAGATATAAAATTGGTTACAACTGAAAGACAAGAGATGACTGAGAATGAGAAACTAATATGACTACGTGAAAGATTGCTTTTCACATTGAAGTTGTAGTGTTGAACCCTTAATCACGTCCAATTCTCGAGTAAAATTCGAGAAATTGTTTTGTGGAGAAAATTGCTGAAGGTGGAGATGGTATTAATTATTGAAATTGAATTGCTTCCTGTTCATGTTGAATAACAGATAATTCAATTTAGAAATAAACATTTCTCAACAGTATTACAAATTAAAATTGAATAGACAATATCCAAATAGATTGTTATCCGTCATCAAGAAAGTTAGCTTACGATTCAAAATCCATCATCACTTCTTTGTAAAGATGATAATGAATGTAAACTTATTTATGATGGATGAGAAATTCCTCATGAAATAGTTAATACATTTGATGGTTGTATTTACATTGTATTCTCGATATTAATAAATTCCGATATTGGAATTTCAAATTTCCATTCCTTGATTTTTCCTTCTCTTCCTTTTGAGTTGTATTGGCAAGAGGAAGATTTTCCTTTCCATCATTACGTGTTATTGTAAAGTAACACAAAATCTCTTGTACACAAAGTAATCTTAAAGTGTTCCAATTCTAAAAATAAACTTGTAAAATCTATTTAAAAACTCATCAGCTGTTCAGGCTTTTCTCCAACAAAAAAAATACAACAATTTTCTAACTGCACTCTCTGTACATTAAAATGCAAATTTTCGTTAAAACATTAACTGGTAAAACTATTACCTTGGAAGTTGAATCCAATGACACCATTGAAAACGTTAAGAGCAAAATTCAAGATAAGGAAGGTATTCCTCCAGATCAACAAAGATTGATTTTCGCTGGTAAACAATTGGAAGATGGAAGAACCTTGTCTGATTACAATATTCAAAAGGAATCAACCCTTCACTTGGTCCTCAGATTAAGAGGTGGTATGCAAATCTTCGTCAAGACTTTGACTGGTAAGACTATCACTTTAGAAGTTGAATCAAACGACACCATTGAAAATGTCAAGTCAAAGATTCAAGACAAAGAAGGAATCCCTCCAGATCAACAAAGACTCATCTTTGCTGGTAAGCAATTAGAAGATGGAAGAACATTATCCGATTACAACATTCAAAAGGAATCAACTCTCCATCTTGTTTTGAGATTAAGAGGTGGTATGCAAATTTTCGTTAAAACTTTAACAGGAAAGACCATTACATTGGAAGTCGAGTCCAATGACACAATTGAAAATGTTAAGTCTAAGATCCAAGATAAGGAAGGAATCCCTCCAGATCAACAAAGATTGATTTTCGCTGGTAAACAATTGGAAGATGGAAGAACCTTGTCTGATTACAACATCCAAAAGGAATCAACCCTGCACTTGGTATTGAGATTGAGAGGTGGTATGCAAATCTTCGTCAAAACTTTGACTGGTAAGACAATTACCCTTGAAGTCGAATCTAATGATACTATTGAAAATGTCAAGTCAAAGATTCAAGACAAGGAAGGTATTCCACCAGATCAACAAAGACTCATCTTTGCTGGTAAGCAATTAGAAGATGGAAGAACCCTTTCTGATTACAACATTCAAAAGGAATCCACTCTCCACTTGGTCTTGAGATTGAGAGGTGGTAACTAAATAAAATCAGTTAACTTTTGATTTCAATATTTTAATATCATTTAGTTCACTTGCTACATGGCACATACTGTTAATTTGTTGTGGGTAGTAAGAATTAGTGTCAATCTTTCTTGATATTTAATTATTCCTAAGAGGAACAAGTAAGTGAATAATTAGTTTGGTGTTTTTCTAATGTAATGTGTTGACTCAAGTGGTTGTTTAATTGATTCATTCTTAATTGATTTTTGTTTCTTAAGCATTCCCTTCACACAAACAACTACAAGCATTAATCCCAATAAGATAATAACCAAACTAAGAATACCAATGAGAACCCCAAATCCAACCTTACTCATTGTTACCACAGATGATTCATTTTATAGTGATTCTTCAACAAGAGCTGATTTTTCAGGGGTTGGAACTGGAAGTTTACCATCATAAATATCTTCAGTTCCCATTAGTTGAAGATTTGAAACATTTTGGCCTTTAAATGAAAAATTCAATCGAGAAAGGCATGATTTGTCCATTTTGTCAATATCTGAATTCTCCATTGTAATGAAATTTGCCAATAATTCCATTCCACATGGATATGGACTTCCACTTTGGGCTGAATTCATCATGGTTGCATGAGGAGAAAATTCAACCAAAATCAATCCTCCCTTACTATTTCCTTTAATATTCCTAAAATCCTTTCTTTGGATCAACTGTGTAACGATCCCAATTTGTAATATTATATATTGTAACGAAATCGTGAGTGGATCCCATTGTAGCAACAGCATTTTCAAGGAGGGAATCTAAAGTTTCAATTGTTACACTTGAATCCCAAAGTTCTGAATGGGCAATGTTCATCTTGATATGATCTGAATCCATCAATGGTGAGTATCCTTCAGAGTTGGATGATGGCTTAGCTCCATAGAATTTATCAAAAGTTGCTTGGAAGATTGGGACATCAATTTGAGTATTACATCTGTTAATTCTGTGAATGATGAATTCTGGTGCTGTCTGAAGCCAAAAAGAAACCAAATATATTTTTAGTTTGATAAATAGTTGAATAATTTGGTATAATCTGGGCAAGGAGAATGAGAGAGTGTTGTTCACCAAGTTTTTTAAGGNAATCAATCATCTCCTCGAGCTTTTAACATCTCCACAAATTTGCAGTAATTGCTGAGCTACATAATTTAAACCAAATGTGAAGAAATCATTGCCATAGATTCAATGAGTGTTGACCAATACAACAGCTTTTACATGTTTTGTCTTCCAGTTAATTCTAAATATCTCATCAATCTCTAAGATTCATAAAAAACTTACACTACTTCCCTATGAAACACCATAAACATAAATTCCTTGACCTAAAGGAACATTAAGTTTGATAGAGATTAAGGTGTACACTTCGGTGATGCTATTCGTTTTCGGATTATATTTGCGAGTGGAGACATAGCACGAGTAACATGATCTTTTCCGGCTACTCATATCATTTAGAACTGAATTTGAAATAAAATTGTAAAACTTTAATCTTAAACAATATAATCTTAAAAACCGCACTGCTTTATCTGAAAATTAAAAATCAGATACCGACAATGGGGCTCGAACCCACGACCCCAGGATTAGAAGTCCTGTGCTCTATCCAACTGAGCTATGACGGCTTCACAATGAAATCATTAAGGGTGAATTGCTTGCTAAGGATCAACCCTAACATCTTTATTTCTTTTTTTCATTCCACTCGAACTGCTTCAGTGTTGTAAGCTTGGTGAATATTTCAGAAGCAACCTCCATCGAAATGTAATTCTTTCCCAAATTGAGAATGATTAGTTGCTGCAAGTTTCCTCTAGCTATTGATTTTCCTCCCTCCGTTTGGATATTATTGTCTTGTAAATCGAGTTCTGTTAAATTTTGCAAATTTCCACTCACTAAATGAGTAATTCCCTGGTTGTTAATATGGCATCTCTGCATTATCAGTGAAACCAAAAGAGAAAGCTTTCCAGTAGAGAGAAATTTCAATGCCTCAGCAGTCAGGTTATTTCCACTCAAATCCAAATAACTCAAATTACAAAGATTCGAATTTGAAAGAAACATTATTCCATTCACTGAAATCCAATTATCATTCAAACACAAATACTTGAAATTTTTACATGAAGACCCTTTCGATAATTGTCTCAATCCATCACATCCAATCTTATTTCCATTAAAATTAACCTTTCTCAGATTGGGAATTTTAGAATTTCCAATAATTATGGGTCCAGCATTTCCAATCTGAAATCCAATATCCAAACTTTCCAAAGATTCCAATTTTTCACATTCAACCAAATCTTTCAAATATTGTGGTAATAAATTCCCACCAATCGTCAAGGAGGTGATGGAACGAAACCTTCCACTCTTACAACATTCTATAAAACTATTTATATGAGTTCCCTCCTCGAAAATCATTCTCAAATTACATGGAATAGACGAAATTAAAAGATTCCACTCTTTGGAAATTCTATTGCCAATTTTCCAGAGCCATCTTTCGTCCAAGTAGGGAAGAATGTGGTTTTCTATTATTTCGGAAGGAATTTGATTGAATAATATTGTTTCGATTAGTTTAGTTTCCTTTTGGTGATGTTGATCGGAAGTTATAATGATGGAAGAAGATACTGCAATTTCTGATGATTTATCTTTCATGTTATTGTTTTCTAATATTGTCGTTCTTGGTTGATGATGATGATAATTGTTATTAGAAACTTGTTGTATTTCTTCATCAGCAGCAAATGAAGTAATTGATGAGTGGCTGACAGAAGACAAAGCACTTTTGATAGATTGGAAGAATGACATTTTTTTGAAAATGGTGCCAAGGTTTCTTTTTGGTTTAGTTCAGTTTATTGTGTTGTGAAACCTAATTCAACATTCATTTGTTTGTACTCATCAGAGAATAAGAATCTAACATAAATATCCGAAAGGACATGTGCCATTACATCCAAAAGGACTGAATCGAATAGAGTTTCTGCATTTGCAATATCTGTTTTAGTTTTAAGATCTGAAATTCTGTGTGGAAGATGTTCTCTTACGATGTCTTTCAATCTCTTATTAGTGTTTAGGATAAACAAACTATCTTCATCCAATAAGTACCTTTTAGCAATTCTATTCGAATGTTCAACAATTTTCTCCTTTTTTCTATTCGAAAGCTTTGAACATGTGAATAATTTCTTATAAAACAAGTTGATATCCTCCCAAAACAACACTGATTCCACATTATACTCTCTTGCACTAAACAATTTCAAATACTTTCTCTTTCTTTCACTTTGGATTAGTCTCCCCAAAGATCCAACGCTCTGCCCCAAATCTTCCAAAGAAACTGCTTGACTTTTTTTATCAGAATCACCCCTTCTCACTGCAAAGCATCCAATTGATTCCTTTGATTTCTTAGCTTTGAAATCATTAAATTTTTGTTTTGCTTTTTCAGTTTTTTCTTTCAATTCTTCTTGCTGTTGTTGTGGTGAAATTTTCTTAAATTCAAATTTTCTGCTCTTTTCCTTCTTGTAAATATCAATGTTGGTATGGAGAGTGTCCAATAAGGAATTAAGGGTTTTGGTGGGAGAGGATGGGGATGTTGGAGAGTTTGGTTCAATTTCAATTAATTCCTCATTGGTTTGATTGTCTTTTTGATTGATGTCTTGATTGAGAAAATTCATGGAATTTGGTGGAGTTGAATATTTGCTTGGATCATTTTCTTCATCATCTATTGAAACTTGGACATGATCTGGATTTGTATCAGAAGATTCTTTATGTGGTTCATCTTCAACCTTATTTTCATTCTCACTTTCGAAATCTCCAATGCTTAATTCTCTTGGCAACCAATCTAATCTCATAATCACATCTGAAAGCACATCAGGTGCATTTTCATGTTTTTCATGATCCCATGTCTTGATCACCTTATCATTCTTAATCAATAATATTCTTGCCTTGACTTCCAATGAACTCTTATCAATTTTCATGCCCTTTTCCAATTTATATCTGTCAGCAGGATCAAAGTAACCTTGTGCTAACACTGGAACGAGTTTTGTAATTTTCTTAATGGGATAAAATTTATCATAATCCACAAATTGCAATGGAGTTGTTCCTGAATCAGATGATTTGCAAAATTGAATGGTGTTTTCATATGAAGGATCTGAAACTCTCCAAATATCTCTGAGTTGAGGATTAACAAGTTCTTTGAAAAACAAATTTCCATCTTGAACACTTTCAGAATGAAGAATGACCGGAACAATTCCCAATTGCAATAATGATCTTCTCCATTCATTGATTTGAGTCATTCTTCTATTACAAAATGGGCACCCACCCTGAACAATGAATTTTCTAATGATTAATAGAATGGCATATGATTGAGAAAGTGTTGAAAGATCCAGAGTTTGAAATGATGAAAGTATTTCAGTAGAAGGCTTAATTCCAGTGATACTTGCCAGAGACGAATCTGTTGAATTAGACGAATTATTATCATTTGAACGAAGGGCATTATAAACTATCATTTTAGAAAGTATTTCTTTTGATGTAGTTGTTTGATTCAAGTCATTGACTTCGTGCATCGGTTGAGGTATTTGAGACATTTTTTCTTTTCAAAAACATCAAAACAAGTCAACTGGCCTAATTTTGAAAATCTCTAATTGTTAAAATATGTTGATTTAATAGTAAATAATGGATGCTAATACTGGAATTGGCATATCTCTCAACAAAACAATGCCAATAACTTTTTTGATTTATTGTTCTCGGGTTTATTCTCTTGTAGATTTATGTCAAACTCACCACATCTTCCCAAATCAATATATCGATTCTACATTATTTTCTCGCACACTGAACAATTTGAATTATTTTCTCTTTCTTTCACTGTTCATTAAATTAGATCTAAATAAGGTACTGAAGGTTCCTGTCTAGATTTGAATCTATTTGAAGGCAACTGAACAGTGAAACATCCTCACAAGAGGTCTGGGCCTTTAATAATACACTACAGCTCGCTGGAGACTAGTCAGACTGCGTCTTGAGTTGCGTCTCCATTATTTTTGAAAAATCTTGATTCATTGAGACTCCTCAATACTGTGAATTAACTTTACATTACGGTAAACAATGATGGCCTTAAAAAAACGTTCTCCATGATTTCTCACAGCACTATTCTTATTAGTTTGCAAGAACAATCCTTATTTGGACTTATTTTCTTATTGGTTCAATTTACGAATGTACAGAAGTTTTAGAAAACTTGGAAATTCAATGCCCCTTAATCACTTAATTCACCTTAACAGACAGAGATTCTTTTGCGGTTGTGATACTATGTTTTTATTGGCTCTTCACTGAATCTTTTGAGAAAAAAATTGTATGAGAGTTTCTTCTTGTTTGTTTGGGGTAATTGCTTGTTTCCTCCTTAGCAGTTTATTAAGCAAATTCTTTCAAGTAGATGCAATTCCGAATTATGTATCAAAATTATCTATTGTTAAACCTGTTGATAGAGCATTAGGATCCAATATTGTATTCAGTTTAGCAAATGTTGCACCTGCAGACTTGTGCGTATTAGATAATGAGGATATTATTTTTCGGGAAGGCAAGTTTTTGAAAAGATACTATGCTTCTACGAAAACTGTTAGTGTTTATTTACTGAAAACCCTTGATGTTGATGATAAACAATTTCTTTCAGAGGTTCTTTCACTAAAAAGAAATTCAAACGGACAATGTATTTATATAGAGAAATACAGTGGTAAAGTGAAAGTAATTAATCATGAAAACAACACAGTTTCCACATTAGTTACATTTGGAGGATCTAGTTCAATTACAATATTCGGTGATGATGAATACGGAAATTTGGTTGTATACAGCCTTAACAGAATTAAATTTGTGAATACAACAGCACAAAGTTCAACTGCAATTGCAGGTAATCAATTCACAACTACAGCAATGCCAGCTGATGGTTCAAACGCTTTATCAACTGCCTTAAGACCACCATCATCTTATCTTGTTCGAAATGGAATAGTTTATTTTACAATTTATAACTCTATTATGAAAATTCAAAATGGAACCTTATTTAGAGTTGCTGCAGAAAAAGGTAGTTGGTCATCCTGTTCATTCAATTCCTCCTATAGTGGACTAGCTTTTGAAGCTTGCGTTATTTCCCCAAAATTGATCACAATGATTGATGGTGAGATTTATTTTTCAGACAACTCAAATTCTGTTGTGAGAAAAATAAATAGAGAAGGTAATATCGAACTGGTATTTGGATTTGGAAAGGAGACCATTGACTTGAAACGAAGTAATCAGACTTTGCAAACTCTGGGACCCAATACTTTCACAGGAATTTCAATAATTCCATATAATAATAACCTTAAATATTACATGTCATTACCAACTAATATAATTACGGTGGACCAATATTCGAATACTAAAAATGTTGCAGGATTTGTCAAGGAGGATTTATCCTTATCAACCTACATTCATGGATTTCAATTCAGTCCAACTTTCAAACCTATTAAAACATATAGAAATGGGGATTTTATTATTATTGGACAGGATAAGCGAACAGTGTACAGACTGAAGCATAAAAGTGGTTTATTGAAACCATTGATTACTTTGAATAACGATATTTACCAATGCATAGTAGATAAATCAACAAGAGAGGATTTATTCATTGCCACTGAGTTTAAAAATAACACTAAGGTGACTAACTTCATATACAAGTTCAACATTTATTCAAAATTATTACAATTAATAGCAGGAAACAGCTCTTCATCAACTGGATATCAATATGATGGACAATCCTCATTAGATATTTCAATTACCGAGTTCTTGAATATGCAATATTTGAATGGTTGTTTATTTTTCAGCTATGGAGCTGATCAACATAGAATATTTCTACTGGATCTGTCCAATCTCACCATCAAAAAAGTATTTGGTGTTGGATATCAGGAAGGAATAAGTCTTTCTGGATTATATTCAGATGCTAAAGATGTTAAATTTGACTCGTTATTAGGAATTATGTCACATCCAATAACTGGTACTTTATATCTGAGAACAAGCAATATTATTTCATATATAGACAATCAAAATAGGGTAATGCCCTTGGTTGGGCGAGGATATAACAATTTGTACGAAATGCCTCGTCCCTCTGAGGGAGATCTTATGCCTACATCAGCAGCTTTATTCAGTACAATGATATTTCATCCAGTATCACAAAATTTCTACTTTGCATATCAAACAGGTTATTCTTCATATATTTTCGAACGAATTAATTCGACTACTTTGAGAACAGTTTTTTTTATTGGTGATTCAGTGAATAGCTTTGTTATTAGAAAGTCTAATGGTAATATTTACTACTTGGCAAAATCTGTTGTTGGCTATGATCCAACAAATGATACACACACAACAATAGCATCTTTTTCTAGAACAGTACCGAAACGTCTCTGTTTATTAAGTGATGACACACTTGTGTTCTCAGAAATTTCTTCTTCCTATTTATCATTCTTTAATCTTACCAGCCAAACGTTGTCAACAAGAACCTTAAATCGTACCGTTGATGGAAAAGTTGATTATTGTACAGTTACAAATATTCTCTGTTTCAATGATGAAATTTATGTGACCTGCTCATCCTCTCTCCATACTAAAGACTATTATATTGCCAAGTTGAAAATTATAGATACTGAAATTACACCTGTTGCTTACGGCTTACCGTATAGTCCAATAAGCTGGACAATAGATCAAAATGGAACAATTTTCATGATAGGTGATACTTGTAATCAAGGTGTTTATAAAGTAGTAAATGGTACCAAGATTGTTCAAATTGCAGGTCAAGGTTTGAGAACACCAAGTGATAGGTCCCCCCTCAGTAAATATGGATGGACTATTGCTGAAAATGGAGATATATATTTCATAAGAGACACTGGTGGTTGTGATTATCCTATTAGAAGAGTAATTCGTGATGAAGGAGTTGTAGTGGATGTGCTTGGAAATGGAACCATAACTGGTCCAAAATATTTTAGAAATGCTGATTATATTAACTCTTTTTCAGAATTCTTAAAGGATGGAACTTATTATGGAGAGACTAAAAGTTCAAAGTTTTGGTATGATCCAAAGATTGATGCATATTTTGTCAATCCAACCAATTTAACATTCAAGATAGCTAGCTCCAGTTTCAACCAAGATGGAGATGTTGTTTTCATTGATGATACAGCTGGTTATGGACTCTATAGTTATATTGTTGATTGTGAAAGAGACAAATATGGATATTGTTTACAAAACTTCACTTGCTTTGGTGTATTTTACAATAATGATTCAGCTTGTTTTGGAAATGGCGATTGCACAAGTTTTAATGGTTGTGAATGCTTTGATAATTATTATGGTGATGATTGTTCCAAAATATATTGCTTTGGAATCTTGAGTGATGAGTCTAATGTATGCAACGGAAATGGAAAATGCGTCGACTTTGATATTTGTGAATGTAAAGAGGGTTACAATGATAATACTTGCAGTGTGACTTCATGTTTCGGTATTCTGTCAAACTCTTCATTGGTTTGTAGTGGAAATGGAAGTTGTTTCGTTAGAGCTGTGTGTAATTGTAATGAAGGATCAACTGGACTGTTTTGCAATGAAACTGCCACTGTTGAAAACATGAAAAATGCAACAAATAATAGCTTAACCTCAAATACAACAAAAGTATTGAGTAATGACACTTCCATTGATAACTCAACCCTTAATAACAATTACACAAATACTGCCATTAATAACTCATCTCCAGCTTTTGATAATACCACCAATTTTGGAAATATTACTGAAGGTTTCATTAATAATAGCTCACTAATGAATAATACTTCCAGTAACAATTCAACAAATAATTTGACTAATTCATCAATGGCACTAGATAATTCTACATGCACCAACTGCAGTACAGTACCAGTTTCAAATTCTTCCGTCTTGAGTAATAACTCAGTATTATCAAATACTACAGCTAATAGTAACACTTCTTTAATGTTTGTAAATAACAATTATACAAATACCATTAATAATTCTTCGACAGGTTTCTTAAATTCAACCAATGTTGGAACAATCAATGATACCAATGTTTCCTTAAATAATGCAACCTCCAATACAACAACAACCTCTTCAAACACTGTTTTAGTTACCAAATGTTTTGGATATGAAATGAATGATTCAAGAGTTTGTAGTGGTAATGGTAATTGTACCTCAAACAACACATGTCAATGTAATTCACTTCATCATGGTTTGCAATGTGAATTGTTGACAAGTTTTACAAAGACTTCTTGTTTTGGAAAATTACAAGCAGATCCATTAACTTGTTCAGGAAACGGTTTCTGTGTTGATGAAAATAATTGTCAATGTAATGTTGGTTTTATTGGAACAAGGTGTTTTGCCCAAAGTCCACAACCAACTTTTAATTCTTTTGGAAATACTTTAGAATTTCATATGAATAACTGGCAACTTGGCTGCAATAATAGCTTTGTAGAGTGTAGTAAGCTGCTATTAGATGATAGTTTAACTTTATTTGGAAATAACCCATCATGCTTTTGGAAAGATGGTAATTTCTATATTGAACTTGGTGGTCAACATTCTTTATTGCCCTTCCTAAATATTACTTTGAATGTAAATGCACTTGATAACAATGAACTTTCTAACATTAATTGCCCGTTATCCGTTACTATACTTCCTTCCAATAATCCAGTGAAACCAATCATTAGTGTTGCATATAAGAAAAGTATCAGTCCATGTGAAGAAATATTAATTGATGCATCAGGATCATATTGTGGAGATTTGAAACCAGTCAAATTTATTTGGTCAATTGAATCGTCCCCAGATCCGAATTTCAGTCTAGAAAAAATATCTTTAAGTAATTTCAATTCCACTTTGAATTCAAACAACATTTCCATTTCAGGAATGTATGTATTGGGATTAATTGTAGAAAGTTCTCTCAGTGGTTCAAAGAGTGAAAAGCAATTTATTGAAATTTCTAAATCATTTGTTCCACATCCAACACTTTCAATGCTGACAAGTAAAATGTCATTAATCAATATTGAGAAAAGTTCTCTTCCAATAGTTGTAAAGAAATCTATTGAATTACCTGCTTGCTATTTTGAAAACAAGGAATTTGAATATATTTGGTACCAAGCATCAGGTTCTACCATTGATTATCAGATAGATGTTAACAATGATTTAGTTATAACTGGAATTTCAAATAGCCAAGATGAATCCTTTTTATTTGGTGTTAAAGCAATATCAAAATTTAATTCAAATTCAAATGCAACATTACTTATTCCAATATCCAGCAAATCAAGAGATTTATCAGTCAATATTTATCTTTCCAATTTGAATACAAATCAAGCTGAAACTAATGTTGAATATTCAGATCCAGATAATGATGTATCAACTTCTGATTCATGGACTTGGTCTTGCTTTGACAGAATCTCAAAAAATTCATGTCAGGATTCATTAATTTCAAATATTTTAAACCAATGTTCAAACTTGAAGTCTCCAAAATGTACTATTCAAAAATCGTCACTTTCAAAAGTTACTTTAACATTGTCAATCCAAAAAGGAATACGTTACATATCAAAATCAGTAGATATTGATTTTCCAAGTACGGAATTATTGATTCCACCTGTGATTAGTTTAATTTCTGTCAAACCAAACAGAGTGAAAGTTATCAAAGGTGAAGTCTTGAGTTTACAATTATCCGTTATTTTGGGAGGAGATGAAAAATACACAACTGAAGATGATATGATCAGAGAATGGACAATCAATGGTGCTACATTGACTGACTCGATGATTTCCAAAATGTCAGTTAATCCATCAAAATCCTCATCATTAATCCTTTCACTTTCCACCTTCATAGAGGATACAGAAAATGAAATATTATTCAAAGTAACAGATAGAAGAAATAATCTATCATCAATATTTTCTTACAAATTCAAACTTGTCAAATCTCCAAAATCATGTCTCTGCTATATTAATCCATCATATGGATATGCATTAGAGACTCAATTCTCATTTTCTTGTCCTGGGTGTCAAAATACAGAAAAATCAATTGATTTTGTTTTTGGATTCATTGACGACAAGTCAGGAACAAAAATTCCACTTTACAATTTAGGAGAAAAGTTTTCTTCATACCTTCCTTCTCCATTTTTTTCAAAACAAATGGATACATTTGTTGACATTGTTGATTTGGATACAGGAGCATCTGTTGAGTTTATCAAAACTGTTGAAATCTTAACTCCTGCAGCAGCATCTCTATCAAATGTTAAAAGCAAAGTAAAGTCATGGCAATCCTATGCTGCATCATACCTACCAAGTGACAGTGCTAAATTAGTTTTCAATTCTGCTACAATTTCAAGAACTTCAGAACTAATGATTGCCCAGTTGAGCCAAGCAAGAAACTTGAACATGGACGTTGCATATGGATTGAGAGAAGAAATGATCAATAGCATGGCTATTGGATTAGATCAGAAAAGTCCTTTGGAGTTAATTTCGGATATTCATTTCAGCGTTTACGTTTTTGGATTGGAATCATTAATTTCAAATTGCCACTCTATTGAATCACTTCCATTTGATAAATTTTTCAATTTGACAGAGAGAATCATTAACTTGGCCAATCAGAATACTAAATTCAGAGTAGCTTATGGTGTTGAAACATTGTGCAACAGCTTGTTTGATAATATTATAAGATTATTAACAAACTGTAGTGAACTCAGACAAAATTATAGATATGGAGTTTTGAATTCAATGAAGAAATTCACTAATGTCTTGTTGAGAAATTATAATGTCGGTCAAAAGGATTACCATGTACATCTTTCACATTTTTCAATATTTTCTCTCTTGAGTTACAAGAATCAAATGAAAAAGACAATAACTTCCTCTGATGGAAATAGCACTCTTGTATTCAATAGAATTGATCCTAATGTTCCAAGTAGATCTGTTCTAGAGACATCATTTTTCTCAGTGGAAGATTATATGGGTGTCTTTGATTATCTGAATCAAATTTCAACTACACAGAATATCCAAGTTTCAGAGTTTGAACAACTTGAATTGAAACAGAGCTATAGATTACTCACTAAGATTGTATTTCTGGATAAGGTGTATGCTGCTGATATTTCATTTACCTTCAACATTCGTAATGATTACAACTTTTCAAATATTAATGTGAATAACTATTTTGAGAGCTCAGGTGAAACAGTTAAACAACAAAAAACAAATATCATTTCAACTCTTGAATGTATTCCAATAGATAATCTATTCAGTGAAGGTAATCTAAATTGCTCTCTAATTGTTTCCAATTCATTAATACATTGTAATTGCTCAAAAGATGTTACATCATTAGTGGTGGTGGAAAAAACTCTTTCCACATCAACAATTACATTGCCAATATCAATACCAAATAGCAACCAATCCAATTCTGAGTTGTATGGGCTATTTGGGTTACTTGGATTAGGTATATGTTGTTGCTGTTGTGTCATCATTAGTATTTTAGTAATTATTATTGTTAAGTGTTTGAGAAGAAAGAAACAGCCTGAAATAGCCACCAAAAAAGAAGTTGAATTAATGACTGTTTAGTGAGGGAGCAAAAAATTCTCAATAACATTAAGTTTTGCAAATTATTTGATGAAATATTAGAGTACCAGGAAATATTCGGAAGTGATTG